TGCTATTATTTATCAAACTAGATCAAGAAGATGGGGAAAACCCAGTGCAGGAGAAGGGATTTGGATTACATACATCCAGTAAAGTACATCAACAAAAATAATGAGAAATGGTTTGGAAAATGGGTGGCAAATTTGGGAGTCCCTACATAAAAGAAGTTAAAACAAATGGCCAATGAACATGTAAAGAAATGTTCCAGCCTGGTCTACAGAGCGAGATCCAGGATAGGCACCAAAACTACACAGAGAAACCCTGTCTCAAAAAACAAAACAAAACAAAAAAATAAATGTTCAACTTTGAGCTGGGCTGTGGTGGCACACGCCTTTAATCCCAGCACTTGGGAGGCAGTGGCAGGCAGATCTCTGAGTTCAAGGCCAGTCTGGTTCACAGAGTGAGTTCCAGGACAGCCAGGACTACACAAAGAAATTCTGTCCCCCCCCAAAAAAAAAAGAAAAAAAGAAAAAGAAAAATTCAACTTCATTAATTTATGGTGATTTTTTTTTAAACTCACAGTAAAATACAATTATACCCAGACAATTTAGGCAAAAAACGAAAACATCAGGAATCATGGTACTGAGAAGATCATTCAAAGGAGGCTCATGGTAGTTCAAGTTAGATTATCTACCCTGAGAACTCTTGAGTAGTATTCATAAAAGCTGTATACACAATATAAGTAAATTGTACCAGGCATGGTTAATCCATCACTAGGGGGATTGCAAGCTCTGTTCCCCCGAGGCTAAATAATGAAAGCCTGTCTCAAAACAACAAATACAATATTCCCCTGCACACAGCCAACCATCACCACCAACACTGTACACATTCCACTTTGGTCTTGGAAACTAGAATCATAATAGCTGTGAACTAGAATTTAAACAAAATACTCAACAACAAGAGAATGGACAAAAGATGCAGTATTTACAACAGACAGAGCTCCATACAGCAAAAATTTACATAAAACAACCGATGTAATACTAGGAAATATCTCACGTACAGTGGGAACAGCTGTTCCAATGATTAGGGGTCCATGTTTCTCTTTTCTGGTCTTTCACACTGAAGTATCTTTCTTTAGCCTTGACTTTACCTTCTCTCTACTTCTGCCTCATTTACACTAATGACAGTGAATACACTAGAGCTTCACCTGGGAGAGCTTAGAGGGAATCACTTCTTATTAAGGGTCCTGGGATAGGAGTATTATATTCTGAGTTAAATAGTACAAAGAGCTAAATCACTGTTCGTGATGCTGATAAGACTGTTGTAATTTGTTCCTTATAAAAGCTAAGATGTTGGGTGTTGGTTAATTTGACTCCCTAACTGACATTCATTAAACCCTTCCTGCAGCCACAGCTGCCTTGATTGAAGGACTAGCACCCAGAGCAGCCAGCCTAACTACTCAGAGCCTTTGAAGAATCCTAAGATACTGTATTATTCAGGATTCTCTAGAGTCATAGAACTTATAAAATGAACTTATATATAAATATATATGTATATATAAATATACATATTTATGTATTTATTTATTTGTTTGTTTGTTTGTTTATTTATTTATTTATAAGAATTTACTGAAGCCGGGCAGTGGTGGCACATGCCTTTAATCCCAGCACTTGGGAGGCTGAGGCATGCAGATCTCTCTGAGTTCGAAGCCAGCCTGGTCTACAGAGCAAGATCCAGGACAGGCACCAAAGCTACACAGAGAAACCTTGTCTTGAAAAACAAACAAATAAACAAACAAATAGTGGAATGACTTACAGGCTGTAGTTTAACAAAGGCTAGGTAGGAATGGAAGTTCAAGAACCCAGTAGTTGCTCAGTCCCACGAGGCTGGGTATCTCAGCTGGTCTTCTGTCTATGCTGGAAACCCGAAGAAGTAGGCTCCAATGCCAGTGAGGAAATGGATATGTTGACAAGATGAGAGCAAGTAGACAAAGAACGACCCCTTCCTCCTTCCCTTGTCCTTATATAGGTTTCCAGCAGAAGGTGTGGCCCAGATCTGTATTAAAGGGGTGTGTCTTCTCACCTCAGGATCTGGATCAAAGGCATGTTGTCTTCCTGCCTCAAGATCTGGACCACAAATGTGCCCTCCATTTCTGGATTATAGTTTATTCCAGATATAGTCAAGTTGACAACCAAGAATAACTGTCACAAGTACCTTGAGTTCTGCTGTTACAAGCCTGACTGAATGACCCAAATGACCCTATAGCCTATTTCACTCAGGTCAGAGGAGCAGCAGCTCCTGTGACAGCCTGTGGAATGCCTATAATTGCTTCAATTGTAGTGTTTTGTTTTTCTGAGGTTCTATGCCATACTTGCTGCAAACATTGCCCTTTCTTTGCATGACCATTTGCTGTGTTTGGTGCAAATACCTCTATGGCTGCCCTCCTCTGGTTCTATAGGAACATGTTCAACTGAATTTATAGCTGAATTTACAGCTTTTTTGGGATGCTTTCCTACAGTATTGCAACAGTCTCTCAAATGTCTTTTTCTGACAGATTTTTTCTTTTAAGACAGTGTCTTACTCTGTATCATTGGCTGGCCTGGAACTCACTGTGTATTCCAGGCTGCCATCAAAGTTACATAGATCAGCCTATCTCTGCCTCCCCAGTGCTGAGATTAAAAACACTACTACTATACCATTCCCAGATTCTTGCCTACTGAGTGTGTGTGTGTGCATGTCTTTGACCACATGTGCAGAGGCCAAGGGAGAATAATGAGTGTCTTATGTTAGCAATAAACCTGAAGCCTGGCAACCAGTAAACCCAATGTTATTAGCACATCATATTAGCATTATCATCTTACCTGTACACCCAACCTTTTACAAGGTTTCTATAGATTCAAACTCAGGTTTGGAGTAATATTACTCTAATATTTAATGAGGTAATATCTTGATGCTGATAATTTCCTGTCAGTTATTCTCTACCTAAGATGTGTGCATTTATTATGCAGAGCCTATGTTTCAGGTTTATCATCATCACCATCGTTATTGACAGTGCTGGAGATTGAACCTAGAGCCTCATGCATCCAGAGAAGCACTCTCCCACTGAGCTCTAGTCCCAACTCCGTTTTATTCATTTCACTCTGAGGCAGGATCTTGCTAAGTTATTCAGGTTGTCCTTAAATTTTTGTTCTCCAGTCTGAGCTTCTAAAAGAGCTGGGATTACAAGCCTATGCCTCTAGACTTTAAATATGTTAGCATTACTATTGTTTATAATCTGTTCTAAAATTCATATTACAGAAAGTGCAGTATATTTATGTTTTTGAATCCAAGAAATAGCATAGAAAGAGATAAAGAAATCTGAAACAACTTTCTGTAGGCAGATTTTCTCTGTGCTATGGAAATTGCTTCCAAATAAGCACTTAGAGACTTTTTATTAATTATGAATGCTCGGCCAATAGCTCAGGCTGGTTACTAGCTAACTCATACACACACACACACACATACACACACACATGTATGTATGTATGTATGTATGTATTTTTAGAGACAGGGTTTCTCTGTGTAATTTTGGTGCTTGTCCTGGATCTTGCTCTATAGACCAGGCTGGCCTTGAACTCACAGAGATCTGCCTGCCTCTGCCTCCCAAGTGCTGGGATTAAAGGTGTGTGCCACCACCGCCCAACAACTCATACATTTTAGATTAACCCATATTTCCTATCTACCATCTGCCACATGTCAGTAACTTCTTTCAGCAGGGCACATTCATCTTGTTGCCCTCTGTGTCTGCTCATGACTCCCAAGACTCTGCCTTTCTTCTTCCCATTCTCTTTGCCCCTAAAATCTGCCAATCAGCTTTGTTTACTTGTTTGTTTATTTTTAGTTTTTTCGAGACAGGGTTTCTCTGTGTAGCCCTGACTGTCCTGGAACTTGCTCTGTAGACCAGGCTGGCATCTAACTCATAAAGATCCACTTGCCTGGGTGCTAGGATTAAAGGCATGAGCCACTACCAACTGGCTCAGCTTTTTATTGACAATGAGAGCAACACATTTTCACAGTGTGCAGAAAGATTATTCCACAGCAACTTTTCCTATACCTGAAATTACTTTTCCAGACTCATAAGTCACTTTCTCAAACTTATACCTTAAATCACTCTCTCAAATCCTCACAACTTACTTAGTCTTTCATATCCTCAGACCTTAAAACATTTTTATAACTTGCATTTACAGAATTTCACAATTAAGCTTTTACATCCTCAGACCTTCATAACCTGTATTTATACATCTTAATACATTTTCTTAGACTCTTACAATTTTAGACCTTTATAACTTGGTGATTGGGGAAAATGGGGGGGGGTGTTGTATAGTGGAGGTGGGATTAGTTCACTGGCATACCCTGTACTTTGGGGCTAGGTTCTGTAAAAGAAAAGTCTTATCTGCTAGGGTGAATGTCAAAGATGTTTAGGGAAAGGATAGAAAGGATTTAGTATTAAAGTAAAATACTTGATGGAAGTAGTGAATAGTGTCCTGTGTGAAGAAGGCTTAGGTAAGTTGTTATCTGGGTCACATAGTAGAGTAGACTGGAGGAAAGTGGGGTGAGACGTTGGGATGAAAGGACAGCTTGATGGGCTGCCATGTCAGCACGATTACTGCCTTTACTGACAGCGGAGGGGTCAGTCTGATGTGCCTTGTAAGGAACCAAGACAATTTGAGAGGGTAAAAACTTTAAGAAGGTTATGGATATATGAAGAGTTAATAACTGAGTTGTCTTTTATGTTTAAAAATCTCTGTTCTTGGGGCACTCGAGGAGAGCACCGCTGCGGAGGTATCCATCGCAGATCTCCCTCTGCCCGGAAGGGCCCCGGTGAGGGGCGAGACTAGCCTAGATGGCACCCGCCAAGAGGAGGAGGCCAGGCCCATGAACTGCCATCCCTGCAGCAGCTTTTGCTTCTAACAGTCAAGCACTCGGAGTTTGGCCTTGACTCCATCTCCAGGTGTGGTCCCAGGACAGCTTTGGCCGCTGCCAGCTTGCTGGCTCTGGCTTTTGCCATCTGCCTAGCAGCCCAGGCACCTACCAGCTGGATTGCCCTCATGGAGGCCCTTGGGCAGTTGGCGGGAACAGCTGGTACGGGCCTTTGTGGGTGGTGGGCCACAGCTGCTGCACGCAGACACCATCTACAGTGGAGCCGACCGCTATCGCCTGCACACGGCCGCGGGGGGCACAGTGCACCTAGGTATTGGCCTGCTGCTGCGCCACTTTGATCGCTATGGTGTGGAGTGTTGAGGGACTTCACCGCCACTAGTCACCATCATCTACAGCCTTAGGAACTCTTGGCACAGCTGTCTTGACCTCACCCAAGCCATGGCCCCTCTGTCCTACCTTGGACTGCAAAGCCAGGAATTCTACCGAAGCCCATGCCCCACTGAACTTACTTAGTAAGTCGGTGGGTTACAGGGACTCGAGGGATGCACTTAATAAAAGCTTGTGGGTTTAAAAAACAAAACAAAACTCTGTTCTTTCCAGATGTCTGAGTGTGTTAGGAAGATATGGAAAGCATATTTGGATTCTGCATAGCTAGCCCCCAAAGTCCATTCTCTTATTTGGCCACTGATGCATACCTGAGACAAAACACCAAGGTCCAACAATCAAAATTTATTATTTGGCTAACATATCTAATGGGTTTTCTGTACCACACCCCCTCCGATAATAAGTTTCTCTGCCGATGAAGTAAGCCAGATCAAGCCGAGTTGAAAATTATAACATCAAGTATATTGAGGAAAGCAACTCCCTGCAGGGTCATTGGTCCAAAGATTTAGGTCAGGGAAGTTGAGGGCCCAGGCCAAGGCAAGAGAGTTTTCTAGAGTGTGTGAGAGGTTTGTCCACCACAAGCTGGGTTTGTATCCAAGTATGACCAAAAGCTGAGCGCTTAGGTGGGGACTTGGGTGGCTGGCAACTTCAGAGGAGGAAGCTGCAGTAGCCATCAAGAATTGGGAACTGGGGCCGGCTAGTGGTGGCGGCTCACGTCTTTTTTGTTGTTTTTGTTTTTGTTTTTATTTTGTTTTTTGAGACAGGGTTTCTCTGTGTAGCTTTGCGCCTTTCCTGGAACTCGCTTTGGAGACCAGGCTGGCCTCGAACTCACAAAGATCCACCTGCCTCTGCCTCCCAAGTGCTGGGATTAAAGGCGTGTTCCACCACTGCCCGGCTGCACCACCACCGCCCGGCGGCGCACGTCTTTAATCCCAGCACTCGGGAGGCAGAGGCAGGTGGATCTCTATGAGTTCGAGGCCAGCCTGGGCTACAGAGTGAGTTCCAGGATAGGCTCCAAAGCTACACACGGGCGGCAGTGGCTCACGCCTTTAATACCAGCACTTGGGAGGCAGAGGCAGGCAGATCTCTGGGTTCAAGGCCAGCTTGGGCTACAAAGTGAGTTCCAGGAAAAGCTCCAAAGCTATGCAGAGAAACCCTGTCTCAAAACAAAAAACAAACAAACAAACAAACAAACAAAGAATTGGGAACTGGGCTTTTGGGCACCTTTCCTTTGTTCTGAGACTCTCTGAGTAGGGAATTTCTGGGCCATGCAGGGGTGAGCTGGTTCCAACCAAACAGTATCCAGTCAGGACTTACCAACTCACCCTAGCACAGACACTCTCTTTTCTCCTTAAAAACCCACTCCTGCAAAAATCACCTGGTGCTATTTTCTGCCTGCTTTTGCCTGATTCAGAGGCAGCCTGCCCGCCTCCCCCCACAAGTAATAAATATCCTTTGTGCTGATAATTTATTGTCTGGGTGTGTCCAGTACTAACTGGGGGGTGGGTGGGTGGAGAGCACCCCTCTGTTATTTATTAAGTTGCACATGTTATTATTTTTTTTTATTATTTTATTTATTTATTTATTTTTTTTTTTGGTTTTTCGAGACAGGGTTTCTCTGTGTAGCTTTGCACCTTTCCTGGAGCTCACTTGCTAGCCCAGGCTGGCCTGGAACTCACAGAGATCCGCCTGGCTCTGCCTCCCGAGTGCTGGGATTAAAGGCGTTCACCACCACCGCCCGGCCACAATGTTATTTTTTAAACAGTGCTGTTTACCACAGGAGAGAAACCATAAGACACAACCAAACCCACTCTAAGAGTTTATTAAGGGAATAGAGAGAGGATGCACATAGGCCTATGGAATGACTGTGCAGGAAGAGAGGGAAGGAGTAGGTGGAACCTGCTTTTAAGGTCCCCCACACATGAGCATATCGGCTTACGCAGCTACACCAAGCATGCACACAGATCACGTGATCATGCAGCACATGGATTATGTAGGATAGAAGGCTCTGGGATGACTAAGCATCTTGCCTGGCTACTGGACAGCACATAGGCGGTCATGTAGCTTGGGGAGTGGCTAGGAATTCTAACACCCTCTCCTACATGTGTTACAGGTAGTTTTGAGTTGTTTGATCTGGATGCTGGGGAAGGAACTCAAGCCTCTGCACTGGTACTCACTACTCAGTACTCTCTCTTAACCTCAGAGCCATCTCTTCAAGCCCCGCTTTCCCTCATGAAAACTTCCAGTCGGCCCTGGCATGGTGACATACATCTATAATCTCAGGCACCCAGGAAACTGAGACAATGGGACTCCTGTGAATTCCGGGTTAGGCTGGGCCTCAAAAGGAGACCCCTGTCCCAAAAGGACAAACAAGGAGAAGCACAACAGAGAAAATTCAATATGTGGTGGCTCACACCTGTGTTGCTAGCATTCTGGAAGCTGAGGCAGAAGGACTGAGAGTTGGAGGCCAACCTTGGCTACAGAGTAAGATCCTGTCTCAAAAACAAACAACAGGGTTGAAATTTAGCAAAGGAGGTGGATGGGAGGATATAAACAGATAGTTCTCTCCTGCCAATTCCCAAATAATGACTCAGAGGCTTAATATTATTTATAAATGCTCAGCCAATAGTTCAGGCTTATTACTAGCTAACTTTTACATTTAAATTAACCTATAATTCTTATCTATACTTAGCCACATGGCTTGGTACCTTTTCTCAGTACAACATTTTCATTTTGCTTCTCTGCATTTGATGGTAACTCTCTGACTCCGCCCTTCTCCTTCTCATCATCCTTAGTTTGGTCACCCCATCTATACTTCCTGCCTGGTTACTGACCAATCAGCGCTTTATTAAACCAATTTGAGTGACAAATCTTTACAAGATGACTATTCCACAGCAGGAGTTTGTTGGAAGAAAGGGAAGGGAGAAGTGATATAATTCTATTATAATTTTTAAAAATTATTAATAAATTAGAGGGGCTGGAGATATGCTTCTGCAGTTAGTTAAGATCACCAGATGCTCTTCTAGGGAGTCCAGACCCAAGTTCCACTGCCTACTTGGTAGCTGACAACCATCTGTAACAGTAATTCCAGGCTAACTGTCCTCCTCTTCTCTCTTCTGACTTCGTTGGGTAACAGGCACACACATTGTCCACAGATAGGCAGGCAGGCCAAACACCTACACACAAAATAAGTATTTAAATTGAAAAATAAAATATAACAAATATCTGGAATGTGGCTGAGAAGGAACATGTAGGCTGAACACAAGTAAGGCCCTGGGTTCTATCCCCAGCAAAGACCCCTGTGGTAGTTTGAAAGAAAATGACCCACAAAAGACAATGGAAATATTAGGAAGTGTGGCTTTGTTGGAATAAGTATGACCTTGTTGGAGGAAGTGTGTCACTGTGTAAGTGAGTGTTGAGGTCTCATATATGCTAAAGATACTACCCAGTGTCTCAGTGCAATTCTTGTTACCTTTGGATCAAAATGCAAGGACTCTCAGCTCCAGCACCCTGTCTGCTTGCATGCTGCCTTGCTTCTCACCATGATGATAATGGATTAAATCTCTGAACTGTAAGCAAGTCACACCAATTAAATATTTTCCTTTATTGGAGTTTCCATGGTCATGGTGTCTCTTCACAGCAGTAGAAACCTTAACTAAGACAACCTCCCACACTGTTGTCCTGAATAAACACACACACACACACACACACACACACACACACACACACACACACACACCTGATAACCTTACATCAGCAGTCTTCATAGGTTATGTGAATTGTGCTGAGATTGTTCACATATGTATTTTATGAATATGCCTGAGAAAGTGAGAGAGGAAAGAAAAGAGGGAAATCATGTAAACAGCTGAAATATGCAAATTGTTAAAGAATAACAATGGTAACACCAACAGCAATAAAAGTAGAAGAACAAAACAGAGTAAATTCAAAATTACAAATACATATATTTAACACAAACCCACTTAAAGCCACAGTGCCAGAGAGGTTGCTTTTGCTCTTTCTTACCACTGGATTTTGCACTTATGTTTCCTATGTATGCTAAAGCAAGGGTTCAGATTGGGGATAGGGAGAAAGGAAAACGGAAAAGAAAGGCTTAGCAAGGCAGGGTTGCACCCTTGGTCCTAAAGCAGCCTCAGAATGGTGCAGTTGCCTGCTGATGACATAAGACATTAAACCTGGAAGAGTGAGAGCAGGAATCTAACAGACACACCAACATGGAGACACACATTAACACACAGGCACACATACAGAAAGATTAAACTAGGCATATCAACATGAGTCAAAGCTGTACTCCAATGTGGGTGGATAGCTATGAGTTTGAGGCCAGCTTTATCTACAAGGTGAGCTCCAGACCAGCTAGTGCAGCACAGTGAGACCTGTATGGGTCTGGGGTATTGGGGCTGAGGGTTTGGAGGTATGGGGTATGTGGTGGAGGGTGGAAAGAGAATGTAACTAAAGGAAAATAAATGTAAAAATTAATAAATAACTGGAATTTTTTACTTTCTTATTTTTTATTGAGTACACTGGAAGAGGGCAAATAGGCTAGGCTGTAGATAGAGTACTACCTCAGGTCAAGTTAGTGGGCCATGTGATGAGAGATAATAAAGGAGAAGTTTGGATTGCTTGGTGTACAATCCAGGGGTGTTAGCACCAGTGACCTTAAATGTAATTTCTAGTCTGAGTCTAAGGAGTCTGAGGAGGCTATATTCACACAGAGTACTGGGCTGCCTGTAAGTCTATGGTGCCTATTCTGGCCCTGACTTGCTTGGCCTTACTTGGCCAATATCGTAATTCTCAGAGAAGACTATGCACACTCTGTGAGTTAAGCATACTGTGTCAAGCAATCGAGTAAGTAGAAGAAATATTCACAACATTGGGCCCAACAAAGCAAGCTCAGTGGGCCAGGGCACTTTCCACCAAAGCTGATGA